ATATATATCATGTTCGAACGGGATATTCTTTAATATTAAACTTAATACCGACCTGGTATTGCACATGCGGTCAATCCAACCGAAGTAGTAGCTAAATTATCCAAAACATCGTGTGCACTTTTATAGACCGTTTCAAGTGGTAATCCTTCTTCCGCTAATGCACCAGCTATTTTAATCACAAATACAATTCCAGTTAAACCACGTTTACCAGCCCGACTTTGATCTTTTTCCGGTATACTACAGTCTTCGTTTACATTTATATTTGCAACCTAAAATGAAAAAAGAACGGAATGAATTCCATATATAGGTATATATAGAAAATTCTATATATAGAAAAATTTTAATTTTTGTAAAAGAAAAAAAAGAAAAAAGAGGAACCCGCGATTTTAACAACAAAACATCTAATTCGCGAACAGAAAAATAATGTATAAATATTATTATACGGAAATATGAATGAAAAATAAGATAAAATTTTTTCTTCCTTTACCTTTAAACCTCTTTGTTTAGCTCTCTCGACTGCTATTCCAAAATTAAGACAATCTCCAGTATAATTCGGAGCGATTACCAAGACACCAGCTAAAAAATATATTATTTATTCATGATATGTAAATATTACTTTGAAATTTTATTATCGAGAAATCAAATGATTAATAATTTTAATATTTTTAATTCAATAAATATATTTGTAATATTTTTTCGTGTCAATTACCATGAGATTTTAATCGAATTGATCGTCACATTAAACTTAAATTCAATTTTTCATGAAATTTCCTTCTTCTTCGTTTATTATACGAATTAATTAATCATACATTTATAATAATTATTTACATCTTAAATTGTAATTTAATTAAGTTGATTTAAATAAGTTAAAAGAGATATATGTGTCTATAAGGTTTAAAGACATTTTATCTAGTTGGATCTTTAATTAACGATTTTAAATTATAATATTTCACGATTGTCTATACAAAAAATGAAATGTATACATCGTATATTATCATAAAAAAGATAGATTTAATTTTAATTTACTCTGCCAAATTATACACTGTATGCTGTATATAATTTCTTGTTTGATAAAGAAAGATATATCTATTATCATTAAATAAATCGTTGACTCCCTTAATTTTATTACGTACGTGAGGAGATTCTCTTGTTAAAATAAATAAATAAGTAAATAAATATTCAAAGTGAGGATTAGCATTGCCATTGTCGATATGTGATTTGTCTATAGTCGGATATAGGTCAACTTACTTTTATTGTGTTCGGAAACGCGGTTGATAGCATAACTAACGTGTTCCGATGGTGGTGCAGAATATATCGAACCTGCTACAGCTGCAGCCAACATACCATTACCAACGTAACCTTGAAAAGTATTTAAAACAATATTATTATTTACTTATAATTTGCTTATGTACATTTTGTACATTTGATAAATATTTAATTATGATTTTTATAAAATATTAATTTCAATGTTCTGAAAACTGAAAAAAAATTCTGAACTTGAGCTTCAGAGAACTTGAATTAAAAATTTTCGGCTTTTTATATTTTTTTTTCAATTGTTTTGCAAATATTTATTAGTAAATATTTACAAAGCGTTAATCTTAATTGTCAAAATTCATTGATTCAAAAATTATATACATGTAAAATTTCGCATTTTCATAATATATTACATAATATTCGAATTCTTGGTTCTTTATAGGATTCAATGATATAAATGCCTAATGCGAATATACCTAATTCGAATTACCTTTTTTTTATGAATATATATTATAAATTTTACAGAATATATATATATTTAATTATATTTTATATATATATATATATATATATTATTTTTTTTTAATTATATTTTATATATATATATTTTAATTATATTTTATATATATATATATTTTTTTAATTATATTTTATATATATATATATAATATTTAATAATTATATATTTTTAATATTTTCTTACCTGATGCAAAAGGTTCATGTCCACTTCCGCCACCACATATTAGAGATACTTTCCTTCGATCTCGAAGCTACGATATACAATACAATATATTATTAATAATTTTATTTAGTATAAGATATCTTACGACGAATTGAATTATTCTTTTGCGTTATTATATTATACAACAATGTTAAACGTATAAGGTTATATACATACTTTTGGCATAAGAACAACTTTGTGAGCTACTTGATATTCCAATTGCGGAAATGCATACGTTACACCGTAAAGACATTCCTTAACAGTATCGTTAACATTATTATGTAAGGTTTTCATCATTCTAAGTAAAATCTTTGTAGAATTTGACTGATCGAAATATTCGTAATGATTCATGAGAACCTCGTTCGGTATACTATAAATGAAAATTTTATCAAGATTAATCTTCGCCCAGAGATCATAAGTTATCATAAATTATTCTTTCGAGTTATTAATAATATCAATAATGTATATTCCTCATGAATATCAATTATTTCAGAAAAAATGCAATTGAGTAATACAAAGAGATTATTTACATTTTGTACACAGAGGAATTGCAATGACATGTCTTAATGACCTTTGATAATAATTGTATAGGACGCATAGATTTGCAATTTTTTACTTAATTTATATTTTAATAATAATAATTTATATTTATATTTAGGGTCGTATAACGATTATCACGATTAAAATTCATTCGAAATATTTCAGATTTTCTTTTCATTTATTTTCAACAACTTCACAGCTTTAAATCGAACTTCATTTGATAAAAATAAAATATTAATAGTGAAGTTATTGATGAAAGAATAATACATATATATTCATAAACACATATATACATTCATAGCCACATATAACGATTGCTACGATTACGCAATGTATTAAAATTCATTTGAAATATTCAAATTTTATTTTCATTTATTTTTAATAATTTTAATAAAATTTCACTTTTAAATCACGTTTTTGATTTGATATAAAAATAAAAGATTAACTGTGAAGTTATTTTAATAAAAGAATTGATATTATACGTACACATTCATAAATTATGCAAATAAATTAATAAATATGAATTGAACTGATAAAAAAATTCATATTTTTAATATATAAAAACTAAAGCAATAGTAATAATAATAATAATAATAATAATAATAATAATAATAATAATAATAACAATAATAATAATAATAATAATAATAATAATAATAATACTTGCTTTTGTTCATTTAAATCTTATATTCCAAAATTATCCTTAAATGATTTCTTGTATAAAAAAACACATCATATATCATATATATATATATATATTATTTTGCAAGATCTTCTCTCCTAGAGATCTCTATTTGAGAGATATATAGATTATAATTGATAAAATATTTATATCATTTACATCAAAGATTAAAACACATTTGAAAACTTTGAAAGAGAAACGATGTGTATTCAATTGATTCTCGTATCTTATATATAGCCACGCGTTAAAAATAAAGACAAGGAAAGAGAACGAAGTGATGGGACAAATATAGTAAAAATTTCAGAATCAATGCCATCTACAGACTGCAACAATGGAAATACATATAGAACAACAGCAAATAATAATAGAAAAATATAAGATAGGATAAAAATTGAAGATTAGCGCGAGAGATCAATTTTGAAAAGATGTTTTTAATTTTCAAGAGATGGTATTCATCTTTAATTCCTATTCCATCCTACATTTGAAGATATGTCTTTGATATTCGGGATAAATCACACTAATTGATCAATTCTTATTCCATCTCTATCTTTCTTCCCCTTATTTCCATGTCTTATTTCATTTTCAACATTCTTTACAATTTTAATTTCAATATTTTATCTATCTCCTTCTCCCATCATTTCCTCTACTTGTCTATACTTGTTCTTGTTCTTGATTCGTGATTTGTGATCATAAACGAAGTACGATACATCATTCATTGTTCTTTTTCAAAACTATTATTGTGATTGATATATTTCAGAATATAGAATATAAAGACTTATTAAATGTTAAGTCTGTTTTATCTTATCTTCGTTTATGATCTTATTTTTTTAAAAATGGTATAGATGAATTGATAAGCTTTTTCCAAGTCGAAAAAATGAGTCAAAACACGACATAAATCGATTAAATCTAATATTTATTTTTTTTATTCATTATACATTTAATAATGATATTCTTTTAATAAGATAAATCATTTTAAATAGATTAATAAACGCCATAAAAAAATATTTAAGCTGTAGTAATTTAAACCTAACTATCAAGATGCATATTATAACTGATTTTTAAACACTTCACTATTGATTCAATCAATTTTACAAAACCAGTATCTTTCGGCTTCTCCAATCCACGTAGTACTCTATTTTTCATTACAGCGACAAATTCTTTGTTGCTTAATTGGCCATCCACTGTAAATTAATAAAAAGGAATATCGAATTATTTCGATCAAATGTCATAATGTAGAATAAAATATATATCAGAGATCATATTATGCCAAGCTAAATATAAAATGTAAATCAAAACAAATGTAAATATTCAACAATATATTTATAGAGTTCATAAGACATAAGACATTTCAGTAATTAAAATTTCCAGATTATATATTACATTCTTAATATTTATTCCATATCAAATATTAATTATTTTGCGCTTCAATAAAAGAACATTAAATAAAGAATTGATATTTGTGTAAAGAATTACAATATTGTAAATTTATTAGTCATGTAAATATTAAAAAATCTGAAATATAAAATAATCAAATCTTTTATGTATTCAATTAAAATTTTAAATTTAAGATAAACTTACTATTTTCGTCAAATATTGTGTAAACTACTTGTATTACATGGTCACTCAAATCAACATGAGCCACTGTTTTTGCCACATGTTTCAGAGTTGCTATAAAATAAAATGAAATTATATATATATATATATATATATATAAAACTATATATGTATATAATAACATAGCAATTAAATACAATCAAAATTTATTCATTCATCAAAGAACAATTATTGAAATAATTTTCAAATTAATTAAATGTTTAATAATAATAATCCATATAATTTAAAAATCCTATTTATTACAAGAAAATTGCATAGCAAATCATATTATGTGTTTATAAATAAAACATATAATAAAATAGTTAATTTGAAAATCATTTTTTAATATGATATTATAGATAAATATCGTTGGGTTATATTCCCAAAAATAAAGTTAAAATAATAAAACCCAAATCATCATTTCTAAATAAACAAAAAATACTAAAATTAATGAATTGATGTTTCGATGAATTGTCAATTAAAACAATAGGGAGCACAATGATATGAATTATTGTTCATATCATTGAGTTTGACAGTTATTAAAGTACTTTATTCGTTTTTATATAGATTCATGTTCAGGAATATTTTCACCGATCTTTAATTATTAATAACTAGTCAAACATTCTGTATAATATAATAAAAAGTAAAAAGAAATAAAAACATAAAAAAATTAAAAATATATAATTAAAATAAACTTGTTTTAAATTGATCTATGATTTATATATATGATATAAGTTTTATTTTAATAATAATGAAAAACCTTGATCGATAGATGCTCCAGCAATATGATAAAATGTCAAAGCTGTGTCCACGTCGTTAATATTATTTAAAAAATGAAAGAATTTTAGATATTCATCTTTATTTATTCCCTTTGGATTATCCTTAAAGCTGAAAGAAATAGAAAAATTTATTAAAGATTATATATTTGAATATTTAATTTTTTATTTAGAAGCATTATTCATTAATTAAAAGTTTATATTACCGTTTTTTAACGGTTTTTCTAATTTTCGCTTTCTTTTTGTCAGGATATCCAGCATATGCGAGTAATAGTTCGGTAAAATCTACTTCAGTAATTCTACCATTTTCATCAGGATTTCTTCGTTCAAACTATAACAACAATAATAATATAATTATTCAAATGCAGAATAATTCGAAATACCAACAAAAATAAGATAAATCTAAATAATATCAATCGTTGATTTTGAAGAAAATTTTAAAAAACGTAATTTTCGATATAATGTAATAAAGAAAAATTTACCTCTAAACTAAGTATTTCTTTTTGCAATTGCTGTTGAAACTCCAGGAATTTTTCAATTGTTAATTTTTTTTTCATATTTGATCCAAAAAAATATGTAGTTAATGCTGAATTAACACCTAAAAATTAAAGATAATTAATACAAATATCTCATAGATGTACATATGCGCACGCGTGCGCGAACTCCGAAATAATTAAGATGCTTTAATGTACTATAATTTAACACTTTAGTATTTAGTCTTTTCAATTCACGCAAAAAATTAAAGCCAAAACTTTGAAAGATAAATACGGTATTACAAATTATTTTCACGAATGCTTTTATTAAATTAATATCATTTTCATAAAGCTTTTTTCGCTGTTTCTTAAAATGCACGTTGATTGACTATTAATAATAATAATAATTAACAATGAAATTACATCAAAAATTACATTCTAAATATTACGATTATCCTATTATGCGTCTTTGGCGTATTTTCTCCTGGTGAAAGTCTAAACTCAAGTCTTCAAATTTTTTCGGAAAAGCTGCGATTTTTTTTCTAGATTCAAAATATGATATTCGATGATATTACAAATTATTACTCGCAACTTGATGAAATATGCATAGAAATATCAATTTGAAATGTCAACTTTATAAATAATCATATCTTATTTATACAAAAATTAACTTTAATCAGTGTTTCGAAAACGTTTCAACAATATTAATAATTATATATGTAAATAAAAAATATCAGTTTTAATTTAAAAATTCAAAAATTGATTTTTTTTAAACATTTCTAAAATTTGCAAAATTAATTAAATTGCATCCTAATTCCCTTGAAATCATACAACTATTTGAAACATTTTTTTATATTCAATATCTTACATATTTAGACAGATATCTAGATCCTATTGTGTGCGTGCGCGCGCGCGTGTGTGTGTAATATTATAAATATTACAAAATTGCAAATAATTTTTTACTCACTTTAAACATGTTACCAGTAGCAACATGATCACGATGTCGATTACCAATACTGGTTTGTTGACGAATTAATGTAGCGACTTTTCCAAATTCTTCAGAATCCACATCACCATCTCCATTAAAATCAAACATTCTGAAGGCAATTTCGAAATGTCTTCTGGAAGCTATAGAAAAATTTCTTAAAAATGTGAAAATGAAAAATTATTGTTTTAGAGATATTAATTTATAATAATCTAGTTTGAAAAAAATCTATTTGAAAAAAGAAATAAAATTTATAATAATATACTTATAATAATATTTATGTTTTGTGTGTGTGTGTGTGTATGTGTGTATGTGTGTGTGTGTAACTTACTAGATAATACAGTAAGCAGAAATATATAATCGGAAAAAGTAATTAAACCAGCGCTTCCAAGTTTGTAAAAAATACTATCTTCATCTAAGGTCAACTCTAATCTTGAGTGAACATTCTACAAAAAATAGATAAACATAATATTAATAAATACATATTGTATACAAAAAAATACAAAGAGATTATTATATATTATATATTATAAATTGTTTATTTTGAAATAATTATAGAAGAATAAATAAACAATGTAAACAATGTAAAAATTTATAAACATATAATTTTCAATAATAAAATAAATAATGGAATAAATATATAATTGTAAGAATTCTACATATATAATTTAGAATGTACTTAAATATAAAATTATTCCATTTTTATGTAATATGTAATAATAAATTATTTAATTTAGCGATCTAAATTGAATTTAAAACTTGACTTACTTTAGGATCATAACGTTTATATTTATCCAGTCCAAGACCTGAAAATAATTATATCATTTAAAAACATTGTAAATAAGTATAAATACATAAAAAGATATTTAAGAAAATATTTTTCAAAAAAGAATATAAAATGTATTTAACATGCAAATATATCATCTATATAACGTATAAAATCAATGATAGCAAAGCTATAATATATTATGAATTAAAAATTCAAATGATATATATAAAAATAAAAAAATAAAATAATAAATAATAATAAATATATGTATAAAAAGAACAACGAAACATTTATTTTAACTTATTTGCAATTAATTGAAAAAGAAAAAAATAATTAAAAAATAATGAAACATTTAATAATTTACATAAACTCATTTCTCGATTTATGTTTTTCTTTTATTTTTATATTTAAAAATTAAGCAAAAAAAAATGCATTTTTATTTTTTATTTTTTAATTTTTGACAATTAAATATCAATTAAAATATCTCTAAACATATGAACATATCTCTTTACACGAACGACATTTCAAGAATCAGGAAATAATGATCTTCAAATCCAATAACACATAAATGATAATTTACTATATAAATATATATTTATTATAAATATTTATGCACATATGTAACTTATATATTTATGCATATACATATTTATACATATTTGTACATAAATAATAAGTATTATAAATACTTGATGTTTTGTATTTGAACTTACAAACAATAGAAATATTTTTGTCAAAAAATAACGAAATTAAACTTTTTTGGAATTGACAATCTCCATGTCCAAAACATGTCCATCTAGAGCTTAAATTTATATCTACAATTTCTTTTTCGAAAGAACATTAATAAATTAAAATAAACATCATTTAAATCAAGAATTGAGTATACTATAAATATTGATATCTATACAACAATTCGATTTTTATTAAAAATTACCATCCGGTTGTTTGACACCAGGAGTTATTGATCTTAAAAAGTCATCAGGTGTCATGAAAATTTCATGGATGTCGTTGTTAATCATTTGTAGTGTAGCAAAGTAGCGAAATACCTTGTCAGGAGTAGAATAGTGTCTTATACGATTTTCATACTCTATTATCTGTATAGAAAATAATGTTTTATTTTTAAGATGATTTATTATAATTTTTAAAATAATTTTTATAATATTAACATTTGATTTAAAATACATTTCCATTTAAATATAAAAAAGAGCATGTATTGAGCATGTAATATGCTCAATTTAATATCGATATAATTTAATTACAGAATTTTTGATAATGGTAGAAAAAAATGTTACACAATTTTTTAAAATCTATCACCTATTGCGCAATTTCTTTCTGTATCAATACATGCAATTCACAATTTCATTATTTTTTTCCCCTCTCTTTTTTTAATAAAATTATATGAAATTCTTATAAACAAAACAAATTTTCATAAATAATACGAACCATATATTATTATTAAAAAAATATATGACAACTCGCACTTTTTCAAACAATATTTTAATTAAATTTAACTTGCTATTAATATAATAAGGTATAAAATTGAAGTTTATGTTAGTTTCATTCAAATGTAAGAAACACGATGTTAATTAGATCGAAGAAGAATAAATCTATATTTCTGTATAAGATAAATAAATAAATAATAGGATATTTTTAGTAATAAACTAATGAAGAGGAATAAAAAAAAAATTATTATAAATGGGAACAAAATAATACCGTCTGGTTGTCTCATGTCAGGAGTGATTGATCTTAAAAAGTCATCAGGTGTCATATAAATTTCAGTACCCTCTAAACTCGATACTTTTATGGTTGCAAAGTAACGAAAAATTTTATCAGGAGTCGAATATGCTCTCAGACGATTTTCATATTCTATAATCTGTAATACACGTATATTATTTAAAGTTAAAAAGATGTATCTATATAATATTTATAATTAATATTTATTAATAATTATGTAATTCGATTTTAAAATGATATCTTCTCTTGAATATTTTTAAATTTTCTTTGAAGCAAAAATTATTCCTAATAATAAAATTAGTTTAATTTGGAAATTTGTTATTGAAAATAAATAATACAGGGGCTTACATTTCTTTTTTTAAATAATTATGTCGAGTAAGTAAAGTAAATCGAGTAAATAATATTCTTGCGGAAGAATAAGATTCCCGAATCAAATATACGATTTAAAAATAATGAATTAATTTCAATTTTCTTTATATATGGATATATGTAATTATACTTAAATTATTAACTAGTTGTTAAGAACTTTGTTCTTTCATATAAACTGTCGAATTTTTTATTATATAAAATGATATATTTAATAATTAATATATTTTTTAACAATTTTATGCACCCTTTTTATTTTCATTTTATTCATAAATTCAGATAAAAGAATTAATTAGTGTAAATTTTTAATATAATATAATTCTTGCTATTTGTTTTCCTTTTTTTTAACTTCTTCTTTTTTATAGTTACTATGACAATAAATATTTTTCTTCTTTTTTATTGTTTATCTTTCTTCAGCTTTTAAACATTTAATTAATAAAAATAAAAATCATTAAATTATAAATATATCGTCTATTCTACGCCATACAATATTTTTAAACACAAATGTGCGAGTATCTTATATACATATAGCTATATAAGCGAATTTTCGAATATTGAAAAGAAAAAGATTTTTTTTAAGGAAATATTTTTAGACATAAAATAATTACATAATGAACAAATTTATTATAAAGGATCACATACTAATTAGTCAAGTTCCTTATTTTGTTTTTGAATTCTTTATTCGAACCATGATCCAAATATCAACTGCGATTCGAATAATTAAATTTTCTATCAAATATTAATATAAAGATTTTTCATTATACAATTTACACTATATAATGCATATAATATAATGCAATAATAATATATTGATAACCCAATATAGTATAATAGAAATCATTGATGTAGTTAACAATTTTAAGATAACTTAAATGTATATAAATTAATTATATACATCTTTAAATAATTTCAATTCAATCATAATTTCATTATCATTATCATCTTTGATTGAATGAGATTTATTACTAACCTTTCTATCACGAAAACCAATCCTTTCCTTTTCTTTTTTTCTTTTTATCCTCTTGCATTTCATCCAATTGTTCATTTTTACTTTCATCATTTGATTCTTCATTGATGATCATTTCAGCAGCAATTACCGTAGAATAATATTTTTTCTTATTCTGAAATAAAATTTGAAAAAAATAAAAGTTCATGAAATTATTAAATAATTGGAATAAGATCACAATTTTCTTTTGAGAATGCATTATAAATTATATATATATATTGTTAAATATTTTATATTAATTTAATAATTTATTTATATTGTTTAATTTATGAAAATATTAAAATAGCTGCAAATTTATTAAACTATATTGACAAAGAACCACAAGTTATCTGATTTTTATTATCTAATTTAAAATATAGAAATACAAAAAAATTAACATGAAAACTAACATGATAAGTAATGAATGATAATAAACAATATAGAAAAAAAATAATATTGTAAAGAAATATTAATATAATTGATATCAATTGCATTAAAAACAATATATTATTTATATTGTATAATAAAATTTATAAGATTAAATATATTAAAAGAAAATATGTTGAAAAATGATGTAAAAATATATATAATAATAAATATAATAAATATAAATAATAGAACTATAGATATGTTAATAAATTTTTTTAAATACATTAAACAATAATATTAAATAATAATTAATTTACATTTGTACTTAATCATCATTAGTCTCTTAAATTTTCAATTTATTTTTTTCTTTACAAATTGATATAATAGTAAAAAGTTAATATAATAAAAAAATATATAGCTAAATATATAAAATCTTTTACAAGAAAACAAAACTTTTTTAAAATTAATAAAATATATTTAAACGTAAAATTAATTGTTCAAATAATAAAATAACACTTTCTATATTCTATATTTATTACAATTTAAATCATTTTTAAATCATTTGTTAAAAATATGAGAGATGGATGATAGTTAAAAAAATATTGTTATATATTATTACAAAAAAAGCTTACCGATTCCAAACAATAAGACTAGTTATAAAACAAGGAACGATGAGTAGAAGAGAATAATTCTTTTTGTTTTTTTGTTTTTTCTGTGACAAATATGTTAAATTGTTTGCAACTGAATCTCGTAGATAATTATTATTATTACCAATTATCAAAAATTTATATGATTGATTAATATTTTTTCCTAAAATATTTTGTCGTAAAATAAACCTAACCTTGGAAAACATATTCGAAAAATATTTTTTTTAATTTAGATATATGTAAGGATACATTGATACTGGAATTCTAATTTCATAATAGATTTTAATTTTAAGATTAATTAATTTTTAGTCATACTTTTTCATGAATATATTTTTCTAATGAATAATAGTTTATATTAATGTTCACATTTTCTTTCTTTCACTGTAAAAACTTTATAATAAAAATACGCATAATATACTAGTAAGAAATATAATATTCTTCAAAATTTTAAAAAAAAACTTATTTATTCAAAATAACAGTTGTAGACAAAATAAGATACAGATTTTACGCTATATATATATATATATATACTATATAGTCGGTAGCACGTAGCCAACGCTACTGTCGTGGCTCGATTAGATTATATAGTTCATGAATAGTCAATGTTTTCTTATTAATAATCCAAACTATAAAACAAAGCTATAGCAAAAAGTTTTTTGCAAAAGAAAATATTGCTTGAAATTACCTCAAGAATTTCTAGTTTACAGATATTACAACATTGATATTACATATATTTAAACTTAATATATATATATATGTGTGTATGTACATATATATATATATATATATATTTGTATATTTCTACATGTATAAATAATTATAAAATGAAAGTTTAAAAAAATAAATTACAATCTTTAACGAATTAATTCTATGAATGAAAGCTATTGTTAATGAATTTTATCTCTTGATTTTTTGAAAGAAATATTTTTCTGTATTAAAAACTAATGTAACTTAATATACGTGATTTACATCCCTAAAAAAGGATATAGAAACTTTTATTAATATTATTATAATTATATTTCAAATTTAATATTTCTGCATTTTTTTTCATTTTGAAAATTTATAAAAAACAAAAATTACCATAAAATAAAATCATTAAATTATTTTTTATAAATTTTTGTAATATAAAATGTGATATATTATTTCCATATTCTATCACTAGAGGGCAAATTAACTTGTATGCCTCTCGCAAGTGAAATTCTTTTAAAAGAATATAAGATTGTATTGAAATATCAAATACGCTATCGCTTCTCGGCCTTTTGGCTAAGATCAAAGTGTAGTATCTGTTCTTATCAGCTTAATATCTGATATACTCTCAAGTGAGAGTCAGAATGTTAAACTGATTTTTGGAACTTGGTGGAAATTTTAGAGCTTGCTCTATTTCTACCGTGAGTCGTCTCGACATTGCAGATTCGTCGTGTTTCGGCTCAATCTTAATTCAAATTCCAAAATTAATAATTTTTTCTAGATAAATTATATGTATGTAGAGTAAAATTTCAATTTTTTAAATAGAAAAACAAGTTTAAGTTTTATATATATGGAATGAAAAAGATGAGAATTATAATAAAAGAACCGTAAAAAAAAATAAAAAAATGTATTACAAATATATTTTTTTGCAATTAAGAATCTTAAAAAATATTTTTTCTCTTAACTACTTAACGAGAAAATTATACTCATTTGACGAAATTTCATCTCATCTAAAATTAAAACTACAGAAAAAGAATAAATATTTAAGAAAATCCATTGTTTCTTTACTTTTATGTATCTCCTTCATAAAATATATTTTAATTTATTATATTTTAATTAATTGTATTAAAATTTATTTTATTCATGTCAGTCATAGAACATATTTTATTTATTTAATTCATAGAATAAATACATAAATAAATAAATAGAATAAGTGGAACTGATTGAATGAAATGACATAACAGGATAATTTAATGCTTCTCTTTTTAAATTTACTATAAATTAATTCATAATTTTTGACAGAATCTAAATATAAATGTCAAGGATTTAATATCAATTGGATTTCTTAATAGTTCTCAAATTACGAATAAATATATATGAATTACATATGCATACATAACAGATTATATTCGCACAAAATTTATTCTACAATTTTTTCAACAACAAATTATATGTATATATGTATGCATGCATATACTTATGCACAGAGTGTAATATATATATTATGGATAATGATATAATAAAGCAGTTTAGGAAAAGATATATAATGCGATTATATCTCAGAATTTTTTAATTCTGAAATAAATAATTCACTCTGTAACATATTTTATATATA